TATTAGTAGAACAAATTAAAAACCTAGAGGTGTATATAAATATATACATATGTGAATTTAGCACATGGGAGTATATGATAGACATTAAATTCAAAAACAGAAGGCAAGCCGGGCGCGGTGGCTCACGCCTGTAATCCTAGCTCTCTGGGAGGCCGAGGCGGGCGGATTGCTCAAGGTCAGGAGTTCAAAACCAGCCTGAGCAAGAGCAAGACTCCGTCTCTACTATAAATAGAAATAAAATTAATTGGCCAACTGATATGTATATAAAAAATTAGCCGGGCATGGTGGCGCATGCCTGTAGTCCCAGCTACTCGGGAGGCTGAGGCAGAAGGATCGCTCGAGCCCAGGAGTGTGAGGTTGCCGTGAGCTAGGCTGACGCCACGGCACTCACTCTAGCCTGGACAACAAAGCGAGACTCTGTCTCAAAAAAAACAAAAACAAAAAAATAAATAAATAAATAAATAAAAACAGAAGGGAAAATCAACAAATAGTGTTGGGATAATTCAGTAAGCTATGTAAGAAAAATATTAAATTAAAAACATATTTCATGCTTTCATGTATACACACATACATATACACACATAACCTTAGAGGTTCTAAATGTAAAGGATCACATGATAAAAGCAGAAGAAAATATATTTGAATATTTATACACTCTTTGAGATGGAGGTGGCTTTTCTAAACATAGCCCTAAAAGAAGAAACAGTAAGAAAGAATGATAAATTTGGCTATGGAAAAATGAAAAATTATTCCCTCAATTTTCTTACTAGCTACTGATTTTAAATAACATATAAAAACTTATTTGTTAAAGGTCAGGTACGGTGGTTCACCCCTGTAATCCAAGCACTCTGGGAGGCCAAGGCAGGAAGATTGCTTGAGGATAGGAGCTTGAGACCAGCCAGAGCAAGAGTGAGACCTCTATAAAAAAAAAAAAAAATAGAAAAATTAGCTGGGTGTGGTGGCATGCACCTGTAGCTCCAGCTACTTGGGAGGCTGAGGCAGAAGGCTTGCTTGGACCCAGGAGTTTAAGGTTGCAGTGAGCTGTGATGATGCCACTGCACTCTAGCCCAGGTGAAAGAGTGAGACTCTTATCTCAAAAAAAAAAAAAAAAATTATTTGTTAAAGTTGTGTGGCGCTTGTGTTGTTAACTGAGCAATACAGACCTTAACGTAATGTTGTCTAAGATATTTTATCAGAATGGGAGGGTTGTTTTCCTTTTCCCTAAATGAACAATAAATACTATGAGTGAGAATGAGTCATATCCTAGATACTCCTACTTTTGGTGACCAATAAATCTCTCATGATTCTCACTTGAAAGAAAATGTTCTTGACATTTACTCATTCATTCAAAATTTATTCAATAATTACTAAGAGCAAGATATAGAGCTTGTATATATAGGGGAAACAAAACTCTAAAGCCATAGGTAGTTTAATAGAAAGAACCCTCAATTGGAGACTGAAGCTTGGGTCATGCTGGAACATTTCTGCCCTTGGGCAGGTTACTTAACCTTTCTGAATCTCAGTTTTCTTATCTGATAGTAAAGTATAATAGTATCTTAGAGAGTTGTTATGAAGATTAGAACCAAACAAGCAAGCAAGCACACATTTATTGTGTTTTTATTCTTTGCCAGGTTGTTAACATATATGACAGATTGTCTATAAAGTGCTATACAACAATGTTACTATAATACAACAAATTCCCTGCTCTAAAGGAGGTAAGAGTAGTGGAAAGGTAAAAAAAAGCATACATACAATTAATGACAATAAAGCTTGAAAGTAAGAAAAGCTCTACAAGGAAAAAAGAAAAAAGAGAATATCACAGAAGATCAAGGAATTCATCCAGGAAGCTTGAATTGGGCTTTGAAAGATGAGTAGGTATTTGGACCTATAGAGATATGTGAGGAGGATAATGTAGGCAAATGGTCTCTGCTATGGTTTGAGTATTTGTCCCCTTCAAAATTCATGTTGAAGTCTAATCCCCAATGTGGGAGTATTGACAGGTGGAGCCTTTAAGAGGTGATGCAGTCATGGGGGGGGGGTCTGCCCTCATAAATGGATAAATCCATTCACAGATTAATGTGTTATCATGTGAGTGGGACTGGTGGCTTTATAAGAAAAGGAAGAGAGACCTGAGCTAGTACACTCAGTTCCCTCACGAGGTGATGCCCTATGCCACCTGGGGACTCTGCAGTGAGTACCCACCAGTAAGAAGGCTCTCGCCAGATGCAGTCTCTTGATCCTGGACTTCTCAGCCTGCCTAACTGCAAGAAATAAATTCCTTTTCTTTATAAATTACTCAGTTTCAGGCATTGGTTATAAGCAACAGTAAATGGACTAACACAGCATATGACTGGGAGCAAATAGAAGGGAAAAAAGCAAGATAGTATGGAGAGAATAACAGTAATTTAACAAGATTGTGGGGTAGATGAAGGTTAGCAGTAGTTGGAAAAAGTTTGCAGCCAGATCATAAAGAGTTCTGAAGGCCAAGTTAAGGAGTTTGGAATTGATTCCTTAGGGAATGAAGAGTTGTAGGAACTATATAGACTTTGGTGTTAGAATGACTTGGGTTTGAATCCTGGCTCCTTACTTCCTAACTATATAGTTTTGAGCAAGTCACCTGACCTCTCTAAACCTCAGTTTCCTCTTCTATATCATAGACATACTAATACTAACTTAAGTACCAAGCTTAGTACCTTGAAAATAGAAGATGCTTGACATATCATAGTTATTATGTATAGGCATTGGCTAACTACTGAAGGATTTTGATAAGAGTAGTGATCATAATCTAAATTCTACAGCACTATGTAGACTAGATTAGAGGCTGGGAGAACAGCTAGGAGAAAATTACAGTAGTCTAGGCAAGAGGTAGTGGAGTCCTAGGAGATATAGAAAAGTTAAAAGTAGAAGGATCAAAATAAGAATTTTAGAAAATATTTTAGGATAGAATATAATAAAGCACTTTTAAGACACTGAAAGAAAAGTCATTATAGGGAAGAGAATAAAAACCTACATGAGAGGAAAAAAACCTGTGAACCCTGGAAGAGGTGAGTGGGGATAAGATAAAGAATCCGAGGGGAATAGTACTCTGCCTGATTACTTACCTGTTTTTTATCCTGTAATACAGAATGCATTTTTGTAGGCAGCATAAATTACCTTGGGGGATAAGGTAGTGCATAATGATTGAAAGAGAATATCTTGGAAAGAAAGAGCAATACTTATCCACAGAAAGAAGAGAGTGAGAAAATACCAAATGATGCAACATAGACATTTTGAGATGAAAAGAGAAAAATGAAGAAACACAACTTCCCATTCAAGTGGAATGTGATGTTTCCTGTAGGGAATGGGGGAGGTTTCATACATGTGACTACAAGAGTGTGGAGAGTGTGAGAATAGTTTAATCTAGATAAGGATTTCTTAACCTTGGCGCTATTGATGTTTTGGAACAAATCATTCTATTTTGGGAACATGGGAGCATGGTGGAAATGGCAGGAGGTGATCCTGTTCCTTGTAGGATATTTAGCAGCATTCCTGGTCTCTAACCATGAGATGCAAGTAGTGCTCCCTCCCCCAGTTGGAACAAGCAAAAAATGTCCCCAGGTATGCCCAAATGTTCTCTTTTTTTCTTTTTATTTCATCGTATTATGGAGGTACAAATATTGTTAGGGTTACAAATATTGCTCCTGCCCCCACCCTCCTCCCGAAATGTCCAATCCCCTGGTGGTGTGCATCGCACACGTTATAGAAACATACATCCCTTTCCTCCTCCCCACCAAATGTTCTCTTGAGGAACAAAATCACCTCCAATTGAGAACCACTGGTCTAGATGTTGTTGGAATATGATAGGGGGCCATTAAGTAATAAAAATATAAACAGTGCCTTGTTTGAGACTCTATTTCTCACACCTAGAACATTACTGGCATATGCTGACATTCTCTATATACTGAATGGCTAGAAATAATGATAGACAATGGGAACTGAAGGCCTAGCTAAAGTTGTCAAGCATATATTGGTAGTAGAACCAGTGAGCTTGATTTTGGGGTTTTGTTTTCTCCCAAAATGAGTTAGAGTCCAGGTACAGAACAGGTGAAAGAAACCAGGAAACTAGAAACCCAAGGAGAAAGCTATTTGAAGAAGGTGGTCAATAATATTAGATGTTATTGTTTCTAGCTATTTTTCTTTCATTTTTTCCTGTAAGAGACAATATAAGTTTTCTAACCTCCTATTAAGTTTGTACATAAAGAGCACATAGTAGGTGTTCAAAAATTATTTGGTAAATTTATATTCTGAGATATAAGATTGAGTCTAAATTTAAAATATGAAGTAATAATAATTGCTATTTTACAAAATCTTTTGATTTATGGGAAAGGCCTACCTTCAGTTTTTCATAAAATTATTTTTCTTGCATATAGAATTATTAATGTAATATCCTTCTTCCTAAATTTAGTACAATGCCCCATCTCCTCTACTTTTAAATATAAGACATAAAAGCAATTGAGGATACGACATTAAGAATTCTTTTAGAGAGAAAAAGAGAACTAATAGTTTTTCTACGTTTTATAAAGATGATGTTAGCTACCCTGGATAACTTATTCTAGCTCAAATTTGCAAGTTTAGACCTTCAGATTTTATTTATTTTCCAAGTTGCTTCATTTTCCATTAAGCACATAATGGTGCTATGTTATGGCTTTTGTGTTCCAAACAGCTATATTTCCCATAGGAGTGGTTAATCTGGTGAAATATCTAAATGAGTTATCTAATCAATTGTTCTTTGGCATTTCTAAAACTTATTTGTTGAAATAATAAAAAATTATTTCTATTTTAATATTCTCATACTCTTGTGACCTTAATTTCCTCAGAGAATAATAGTTATTTGTGTACATGTCTTATTTTCCCTACCACATTGAAGGAATAGAATCTATTTGCTCTCTTCAACTAGCATAGTTCCTTGCACATAATGTGCTTAAAAATAATTGACAGGCTGGGCAATGTGGCACACATACCTATAGTTCCAGATACTTGAGGCTGAGGTGGAAGGATTACTTGAGGCCAGGAGTTTGAGGCTTCAGTGCACTATGACAGCAGCAGTGAATAGCCACTGGACTTCAGCCTGGGCAACATGGCAAGACCCCGTCTCTAAAAAAATAATAATGATATGATAATTGATGGATAAATCAAAAAATGAACAACTACACCTCACAGGTTAGAAGTCAGAAGGCCTGAGTTCTAGATCTGCTTTGGTAATTTTGGGCAAATTGCTTTAATTTAATGGACCATAAAATGTGAGAAGTTTTCGTGTCAATGTTATCCAAGGAATGTTAAAGTATAGACTTAGTCCTTCCATTTTCCCCAGGTAAATGGTGACCCAATTATCACTGTTTCTTCTGGGTTAGAGAGTCAAGTCTAAGCACAGACAAAGTTTTTATCTTGGCCAGAATCTTAGCCTACTTTTTAATGTGTGCAAAAGATCCAATAGGCATGTAAGATGTGAAATGGCCCATAATTAGAAAAATGTTGAGGGGTTGAACATGTGGGACAGAGAAAAGTAATAGTGTTTACAGAGGTAAATGTTGCAAAAGTAGGTTACAGTAATATTTGTCTTCTTGCATTTGAAAGAAGGTAAACTACATGAAAATGAAATGTTAGGTTACTCTTCTATATTTGCAAAAATTTCTTTACATGCTGATGCTACCACAGCTCCTTTGCAGCAGTAATTATCTAGTTTAATTAGAGCTAATATATGTGCCAAAATGTTTGTTCTCAGTCCATTGATGCAAAACAGTCCCTTAATGATGATCAAAAGATAGTATGTGAGGCTACACCTATAAATTAGCAGCCAGAAGACAATAAGTTACTTATGTAACACATTTATGCAATATTCTTTTCATTCCATATATCCAGATTTTCCTCATGATCTGGTTTGAGTTGATCTGCAATTATCTCAACCTGATTATCTGCTATATCATACCATGTTTACTTTGGTGTGTGTGTGTGTGTGTGTGTGTGTGTGTGTGTGTACAATAATTCATGCTCATTTGTGCTCTTCCAAAAATACTGAAAATCTACATTCAATAGATAATGCAAAAAATGATAGTCATTATTTCAAAATAACCTAGTTCTAGATTTTAAGAAGTGAATTCAACTAAATTTTCATCTCATTGCTTACTCTGGATAAGGCATTGTGCTAGTTACTAAAGTTTATAAGGATAATTAAGACATGGTCTATGGCCCATAATCTCAAGAAGATTGCAGTCTGGTGGGGAAGGCAGACATAAACAAAACAATTATAATGCAAAGCATGAACCCTGCCCAAAGTGGGGTATTGACAAAAATTGTAGGAATGGCAAAAAGTAACAAATAATTCTCAGTGGGAGAAGGAAACATTTGAATTGAAACTTATAGAATAAATAGGGTTTCAACATGAGATCAGAGTACCAAATAAAAATAGCAAGAACAAAGACTTAGGGGTGACAAAATCTGAGAGATGTTCAGAGAATAGCCAATGGTTCAGGGTTCTCCAGTAAATGGGGCTATGTGGACAGTTGTTCCATGCTAAGGATTTCAGATTTTATCTTGTAGGTGACAGAAAGCTGAAAGAATTAGAGCTGAGGAATAATATTCTCAGTTACCTGTTTTAGAAAGATCATGCTGGGAGTAGTGTTTAGACTGCCTGAAGAGATGAAAAGTAACAGCAACTTCAGACAAGAATTTGTGAGCTTCTTAAAGGCAAAGATTTTTTTTTCCTTATTTTTTTCATTGTCAGTGTCCAGTATTGTGCCTGGCACAAAGTATGTTCTCAATAAACATTAAACATAGTAGTAATGGCCTTACTAGCACAGCATGTGAATATATAATGAAGTTTAATATCATTATAAGAGATTTCTACAAATATGTGGAATTGGTCTGGACAGTAGAGGGTTTTTCTCTCTTCCCTTATGGCTCTTGAGCTTAGTTTATTTTCAAGAGTGTGTCTAAACTTGTTTTATTTCCATTTAGATTCAAAATAATAATGGTACAAAAATGAATTAAAATTTATAGGGAAAAGCTATTGTTCTAACATTTTATTCATATATGAAATTTTAGAAATAATGATGTGGAAACTTTATCTACTGGGAAAAAACAGACAATTTAGATATGCTAAAATTCCCTGTAATATATAAATAAAACTACCTTTAGAAATTCACAAAGATAAACAGGAAGAAAATATTTCCGAAACACATGGTAGACCAAGTGCAAATATTCCTTTTAGAGAGTATATGGCTTGGTTAAGAGCTTGGGTTCTGAAGCTAGATTGCCTGGGTTTGCAATTCTGTCTCATGCTTCCTAACTAATCTTGGGCAACAGACTTATGTTCTCAATGCTCCAGTTTTCTCCTCTATAAACTGTAATTTGTAACATTTGTTAACTTATCTAGTTTATAAGTTGTTGCCAAGTGTTTAGAATAGTGCTTGGCACATAACAAATACTAAATAAAATTTAACTTTTTAGAAAGTATTATCCTTAATGTAGCAGAGATTGCTAAATATTTCCCAGTATCTGTTCTTTCTTTCTTATAGTAATAATAGAATTTTCAATTTGTGACTATGCATGACTGTCCAGAATAAACACTGTATCTTCTAGGCTTTGTTGCAGCTGTGACCATGTGACTAGGGCCTGGCAAATGAGATGTAAGCAGACGAGTCATGTGGCAGCTTATGGCAAACTTTCTTAACAGACAACTGGACACCTACCAGATCTCAAAATTTAAAAGTTGAAATTACTAAGGGTTGGTGAGGATACAGAGTAACAACAACTCTTAAACATTGCTAATGAGAGTATAAATTGGTAGGTCAGTTTGGAAAACAGTTTGGCATTATTCAATAAATCTGAAGATATGCATATTAAACAATCCTGAAATTTTTCCTAATTTATATTCTAGAGAAACATATATATGTACTAAGATACATGCACAGGATATTAACAGCAACATTTTTTGTGATAGCCAAAAATTGTAATAATACAAAGGTCCATCAACAGTAGAATGGATAAATTGAGGTATATTTATACAAGAGAATATAATTCAGCAGTGAAATTGAATTAACAACATCCATTGAAAAAACAAGAACTAAAATAACACAAACACCAAGATTCAAAAATAGGCAAACTATGTCATCTAGAAATGCACACTTGGGTGAAACACTTTAAAGAAAAGCAAGGCAGTGATTACCATAAAGTCAGGATTATAGTAATCTCTAGGTCTAGAGGGAGATTTCCTCTAGGAAGAGTTGTGATTAGAAAAGGAACAGAGGGTTTCTGAAATTCTTGCAATGCTCTGTTTCTTGAGTGGAGGTTCCATGGATATTTCTTTATAATTTTTAAAACTATACATTGTGGTATGCACTGTTACATAGGAACATCATATTTCACAATTTAAATTACAGATATATAAAGAGACATTGTGCCTTTGGCCTCTCTTCTTTTTTATTCCTTCCTCCATCCTGTTGCCTGAAACATAGATACTGGTACCTGAGACCATGAGAACAAGGATCACAACATAGAAATATCAGAGTAATGAGCTAGAATAAGGTAAGTCCCTAAGAACTTCACGGGACAGAAGTTCCATATCAGTCCTGAACCTCGTAGCTCTGGCCTTCATTTACATGAAAGAGAAATAAATTTTATATTATCTTGGAATTGGAATTTTCTGTTATACAGCCAAACTTGATTTTAACTAATACATCTATAGAAAAGATTTTCAAAAAGACAACCTACCCAGTAGAAAAATCGCCTGATCTTATACACACACAAATATACAGACCTGCATATACATATACACAAGCATATAATTAGAAAATTCATAAAAGAAGAAATCTAAAATGCTCACAAACACCTAAAACATTCTTAATATCAACAGCAATCAGAGAAGTGCAAATTAAAACAAGATAGTATTTTTCATGCATCAGACTGGCAAAAACTTCTTAAGGGCAATATATTCAGAACTGTATAGTATTCAGGAATATGACCCCTCTAGGCATTTTTAATGTAAATTGCTACAAATTTTTAGAAGGTAGATTGGAAATATCTATTAAATTTGAAATGCTTTTATTATAATCTGAGCCATCAAATTAAGATAAATCTATGCCATAGAAATCATTCAAGAGCATACGTCTGAGGATTCTTATTGTGGCATTGTCAAGGTGAAAAACTGGAAACAATCTGTTAATCCCTCAGTAGTGAATGTTTAGATAAACTATGGCACATAATTACTATGAAATATTATGCAGTTGCTAAAAAAAACAGGTTAGATCTATATATTCTGACCAGGAAGGTTGTTCATGATATATTATTTAGTGAGGAAAGTAAGTTACCCATTTTTATATAATTAGCCAACCAACTTTGTGCATGCATTTCTATATAGATTTGTATGAACATGTAAGAAGGTGTGAAAAGATACAACCTAGATTGTTGATATTGGTTACCTGGGAGTTGGGGTGGGAATGGAGATTATTTTTTTCTGTATACATCTTTGGATGGTTTTACTGGTTATAGTGAATGTAAGTATGTTATTTTTGTAACTTTTATAAAGTTATTTAATTTAGAATTGGTTTTAATAAAAAGACACACATCTAAGAAAACAGAATAATTAATGTACCTCAGTGCCAGGTGAACATCTTTAAAATTTATTATTGCCAAATCTTAAATCCATATAACTGAAGCAAACTGCACAAACCTGTACAAAACAGAATAAAGGAGGGAACTTAAGAAAATAATGTGACTTATCCACTGACGATTCACAATTAGTATTTCAACAAACAACTCTAAAGACACCCATGTGTTAGTAAAATCAATATATGCGTGTTACTTCTTGCAATCTTCTGGGAAGGAGTTTAATACCAAGCCATGTCATGGGAAAGAAGACAGAAGTTAAGAAATACAGATAAAAGAACAGCTCTTCCTTATCAGCTGAGTCTAGTGATTCTAAAATGTGTGTGTGTAAGGGGGTGGCTGTCAGTCAAGGTATAAAATCCATATATCCCAATTCGAACTCCTTATCTGTGTGTGTGTGTGTGTGTGTATGTGTGTGTGTGTGTAAGGGGGTGGCTGTCAGTTAAGGTATAAAATCCATATATCCCAATTCGAACTCCTTATCTGTGTGTGTGTGTGTGTGTATGTGTGTGTGTGTGTAAGGGGGTGGCTGTCAGTCAAGGTATAAAATCCATATATCCCAATTCGAACTCCTTATCTGTGTGTGTGTGTGTGTGTGTGTGTGTGTGTGTGTAAGGGGGTGGTTGTCAGTCAAGGTATAAAATCCATATATCCCAATTCAAACTCACTATCTTCCTAACCCTCCTCTAATGTTCTTCCACTATCAAGGCATGACGAAGCCCTCACCAGACACCTGCTGCATGCTTTTCTCTTCCCTTTTGCTTTCCTCTCTCCCTGAATCTGTTTGATTTCAAAATCCTCTTGGTTTTACTTGTTGGACGCTTCTGCCCTTGCCCTCCCTCTGGCCCTGCTGCTTTTTGCCAGGACTAACAAATTACACAGGAGCCGCCACTCTCAAAGAAGTCCACACTCCTTTGCTGGGTCTTCTCGACCCTTCATACTGGCTCCTCTGGCTTCCTGCCACCTTTTCCGCCTTCACCCTCGCCCTGTGCTACAAAGGTTTCCGCTCACCCCAGAGGACCTCAGGCGCTTACCAGGTTGTGCCCTGGAGTCCTTATGGCGCAGCCTGGACGGTAGTCAACTGCAGACGGAAGTGCTCACACAGAGCCCAAGAGGCGGGCCGGACGGGGGCGTGGCCTGGGCTGGCCAATAGACGCCCAGAATTCAGGTCACGCGTCCGGCAGGCAGGACTTTTCCCCAGGTAAGACCTGTAGGAGGCGATTTTACCTCACATAAAAGCCCTGAGAGACTGGTAAAAGGAGGGAGGGAAAGGAAATGTTCTTGAACTGAAGGGAGGGCGGGAAGGGGGGGAGGGGGCGGAAGACCCCTGTGGGGCCAAAGCACGGCAGCTCAGAAATTTCTGGAAAACACATCCGTGAGGCCCCGCCAATGTGCAGGAAAGACCCAGAACCAGCGTCCACCTAACCTAATTAGGTGAGAATAGAGAATGTGAAGGGCCCTAGAAAAGCCAGTGGGATTTCAACCCACCAACTAGAAGTTGTATGGATAAACAATCTGAGAAAATATATGAACCACGCTTCCTCTGCGATTTTACTATTAAAAATGTGGTTTTTATGGGAGAGAGTGAGGAAGGGGAGAGAGCTCCTGATGCCTTAGGCTGGTGGGAAGAGATGGGAAGCCAGCCTCAAGATTCACAGTCACCTATGTGTGAATAAGTTTCCTTGTGGAAGCTTATTTCCTCCGCCTTGTGCATAAGAGCCTAGTCCAATTATGGTATGCATTTCCATTTTGGGGGATAGATGCCAGTCAGGAGGTAGCACAAGAGAAATAAAATCTTTCGAAATAGGTGAGGAAAAAAATTCGAGAATTGCTGCAATTCAAAAGTTCATAATTTTAAAATACCTTCTCTCCAACCTTGATTTTGTTTCTTTTCCCCATGTCTTTGATTTTAGAAATAAGGCCATTCATCTTTCTTCCATCCACCCACTGCTATAAGATGGTTTCAAATATCTGTACTGTAATGAAATAAACTTGACCAACGAAATTCTAAGAATGTTTGTAACATACAGTATCCTATTTAAATACTACATATTTAGCATGAATTTCAATGATTGTCTTCAATAGAAAGGTAATTTTTTAAGGTAATTGATGAGAGTGATGAATCTGAAGCTGAAGGAAATATTAGGCTTCAAAAGAAAGGAAAACTGAAAATAAATGCTGACAAAAGTTGAATGAGTAAACTAGGTAGAGTTGTGGTTTTTGTTTTTCTAGAATATTACAGGGGTACTATTGTTTTGGTTACATGAATTGCTTTTGTACAGTTTGAGTCAAGGTTGTAAGTGTGTCCATCACCCATATAGTATGCATTGTACCCTTAGGTGTGAATTTACCCATCCCCTCCTCTCTGCTCCCACCTACTTGATTTCTGTTAAATTTTGTACCATACGTACACATACATGTTGATTTAGAAGTTCTCATTTGGTAATGAGTACATATGGTTTTTGTTCTTTCATTCTTGTGATACTTCACTTAAATGGATGGTCTCCAGTTCCATCCAGGTTGTTATAAAGGTATTAGTTCTCCATTTTCTATGGCTGAGTAATACTCCATGGTGTACAAATACTACATTTTATTGATTCACTCATGTATTTACGGGCCCTTGGGTTATTTCTACATCTTTGTGATTGTGAATTGTGCTGCTATAAACTTTTGAGTGCAAATGTATTTTTTATAAAATGCCTTTTTTTCCTTTGGGAAAATACCCAGTAGTGGGATTGCTGGATGAAATGTTATGTCAATTTTTTAGTTCTTTGAGGTATCTCCATACTACTTTCCATAGAGATTTTACTAATTTGCAGTCCTACCAACAGTGTGTGTTATTTTCTCTCCACATCTGTGCCAGCATCTATTGTTTTGGGACTTTTTGATAAAAGCCATTCTCACTGGAGTTAGCTGATATCTCATTGTGGTTTTGATTTGCATTTCCCTGATGATTAGAGATGTTGAGCATTTTTATATGCTTATTGGTTATTAGTCTGTCGTCTTTTGAAAAGCTTCTGTTCATGACTTTTGCCCACTTTTTAATGGGGTTGTTTTATAATTTTCTTTTCTTTTCTTTTTCTTTTTTTGCTGATTCACTTGAGTTCTTTGTTGATTCTGGTTATTAGCCCTTTATAAGATGTATAGCATGTAAATATTTTCTCCCATTCTATAGGTTGTCTGTTTGCTCTTTTGATTGTTCCCTTGGCTGTACAGAAGCTTTTTATAAGTTTGTTTTTAACTTTTTGAAATGACTTCTAGAATGAGACACAATCAGATAATTTTTTTTCTGTAAGTACAATATCAAGAAATGGAAATTCTAAAATCAATATTTACTTCAAAGATCAATGATACACTGTGTAGAAAAGGCCTAGAAGTGCAATGATTGGAAATATTCTGAAGGAAGGAATCACCAATAAGAAAATGTTATGTAGGCAGTGTTTAAATAGGAGTGAAAGAAGATGGCCACACTATGTATTTCCCACACCCACTGGCACCACAGAATCTAACAATATTAAAGTTAAATCAGATAATAGATTGGGCTCACTTTAATTGGAAAACTTTTTGTAATATCTAAAAATTCTTCTGAGTCATTAATCACATAAAATAATTGTGTTCTGGATTGTTTTAGAAGTTTGCTTTTAGTTTTTTAAATCCAGAAGTTGAGTAATTAAGAATGTTCACTTGATGATAACGGAAAATAGGGATAGATTCATAGCTTATTGATGTAGACCATGTCTTCAGGTCTTCTGAAGTACCTTGACCATAGGTAGGGATATAGGTAAACCTTAAACAAATTTAGAATAATAATGAAACAAAGGCAGGACTATTTGGATTAAAAATGTTTATTTCATTGACTAAAAGCTTATTGATAAACTACTATATGAAAACTAGCTTACATCTGAATTCCCCAAGGCATTTTAAATAACCAGAATACTAAGAATTATTTGATAAACTGGACTCTGCCCTAGATTAACTTCCAAACTGTAATTCCATAGTTCCCACATAAGTGAGAACCAACCTGGACTAATTCAGCATTCTAAATTTTACATATTGTTTCATTAGATGGATTTGTTGATTTCTCAATAACTCATTGACCTAGGAGTAATAATATGCCATAGTTGCTAATTCCAAATGAACTAGCCACCAGGAAATTTGAACTTTAGACTTCTTATTATATTTTCTAAGTAAGAGAATGGGAATAGTTTCCCAAATAGTTTCCCAATGTCTGAAATCCTCCACTGCTTCAGCACAGAATGCTGCCCTTGGATATGCAATTTAAAGACCACTTTAGAAAGATGGTTATTCTGAATACCACTCTGCCAGTCTTATGAACTCCATCCTCTTCTACAAAAAAATGATCACATTAGATGTACTTCAACCCACCAGTGAACAATTGTGTGGTTTAAACAATATGAGAAAACATACAACTTTATGCCAATATATATTGCTTTCATTTTAGATTGAAAATCATAGTAATATGTTATTTTTATCAATTTTTATCATTCAGAGCCTTTTAAAAAATGAGGTAACCAAAGTTTTGTGATTTAGAGAGATATTCTGCTCTTGGCTTTGCTATTTTGCTAAACATTTAATTTTAATTTTTATATTTCCAGGTGTTGAAATTTGTACTTTTTTCAAAGAAAGAAGATATGTTTTCAGCATTGAAATATTGTGCAATAGACTATTTATATGAGGTAAAGTGTTACTGGATTACTACATATTTACTAATAATTATGATATAGAAAGTGTTATTTGCATTCAAAACAGGTTGAGTATCCCTTATCTAAAATGCTTGGGACCAGAAGTATTTCAGATTTTGGATTTTTTTTTATTTTGGAATATTTGCATATGAATAATGAGATGTCTTAGGGATGGGACCCAATTCTAAACATGTAATTCATTGATGTTTCATATGTACCTTATACACATAGACTGAAAGTAATTTTATATAATATTTTTAATGATTTTGTGCATGAAACAAAGTGTACACTGAACCATCACAAAGCAAAGGTCACACTATCTTAGCCCATGTGGCATCATATTGGTGCTCAAAAAGCTTATGATTTTGTAGCATTTTGGATTTCAAATTTTTGAATTAGGGATGCTTAACCTGTATATGATAATTTTGCCATAATCTTGAGATTGATCCTTAGTCTAATTACTTTTAGATTTATTTAAAATTACTTTCCACATTTAATATACCTTAAAATGCTACTTTGGGGAGGAAATTGTTAAGTTAAAATAATTAAACAATTAAAATCAAACAATTAAAATGAATCTAAAGCTGTCAGGAGAAAAAACTTGAAACACTTGGCAAGTTTGGGGTGGTTTTATTAAAAGTCTTTCTTGATCTTTCTTGAAAGGAGTAGAGAAAAAGAAATTCCAGTTATCTTTATGATAAGAATAGCATGTGTTGAATACTTACTATGGGCCAGATATTATCCTTTGTTCTATGTACATGATGGATTAAAAATGTAATAAAATGACATAAAAAAATCACATAAGTCCTTCAAGAATGAAAAAAAGCAATATAAAAATAAATAAATAAAAATAAAATGTCAGAGCTAAGATTCAAGTCCAGGCACACTTTAAAAACTAAGTAAAATAGTTGTCAGACAACAGTTCATTGTTCTTAATGATCTTAGTTGACAAATGAAATTTATGTTTGCTTTATGACATTGACCCCATCTGCCAGGGGAAAAAATTACTACAATATAACTAAAACTGTGTTATATTTCACAAGAAATAAGAAAGACATACAGACATCTTCAGGTTTTATTATTCCCTCATAACAGAGGGAAGGAAACAAATGTGCAGTTGTGAGATAAACATGGTAGACAATCAAAAGTCATTGTAACACAAACACATTTATGAATATAGTGTTCACTTGCAAAATTAGTCTGTATTCAGACATCCTCAAACTTAACTTTTGCCCATGTATCTTAGTTTCTTGCTGGTGTATCATACCCCATGGTATAATACAAATATGATACTAATTAATGGCAAATCTTGCAAAAGATGTAGGACTTTGTAAAATTTATGAAAACAGTATTGAAGAACCACTCAAATAACAAGTAAAGCTGTTA